TGGGCTGTTTGGAGCAGTTTTAGTTTAGATGCCTCCAGAGACACATTCTGACCCAATTTCTCATAAAGTCTTTCTGCAGAGTAAGAAAGAGTTAAGAGTTAAGCTAATAGAGCAACTACAGCAGAATGAAGACGAAGGTTTTTCATTCATTCATGATGAAGCTTCAAAATATGCGAACAGAAGGGACAATAAGAAGTAGAAAATGGTCAAATATGAATCCGAAAATTCTGCAAAATAGCAGAGGAAAGAAATAAGGAAATAAAAGGTGGAAAGGAATGTAGACAGCTATAGCCACTTTTAAAGAGCCTCCTGAAAGAAACTTATCTTTGCTAGTCATCCAGCCTATTCATGGTGGCTTATATTGGAAGTTCCACCTCTCAAACTGCAAAACTTAACTTCCTGTATCTGTAAGATTAATGCTGAAAGCTGATAAAGCAGATGGTCTCTTTATACTGATGGTATATAGTGTATATATATTATATATAGTATATAGTGTGTGTGTATATATTACATATATATAGTATATAGTATATATACTATATACTATATATAGTATATAGTGTTTGTGAGGGATATTTTACTGTTTAAGTATCTAATTCTTGAGTTTAATAGTATATATGCAGATTTATTTTAAAGATTAAGCATGAAAATGTAAATGTAAAGGTTTCAGTTACAGAAGCATGCAATACTCCAACTACTCTCAAAGAAACAACAGAGCAAGATGGCAACCGTGTGCAAAAACCACCTGCTCACCAAGAAAGAGAAACTGCACTTTATGTAGAACAATCAATTTCCCACCATTATGACTTCTAGTATTGAAAAAAGCACTACTTGTGCTTTGCTTCATATATTCACTCAGAACATACAATTGTGAGACAGTGAAGCAGCTATGTTCCTTAAGAAATTGTCACATACTCCCTAATGCCATCCTCAAGAACTCCTTTTTCATGAACTGAAATTGATGCAAATCCTAACCTCCAACACAATTTTATAAAAAACTGACAAAGAAAATTTGCATTAAACTGGGAGAAAAATAAGAAAAGGATCACAAAACAATAATATTTTGTAGAATAATTTCACATATGGCCTTTATGAGTGTTATTTCCTATTCTGAAGAGTACTTTTTTTCCTACATTAGGAAAAATTGTTATAGTAGACATAACTAGCAGGATTAGATCTTTTGTCCTTTCCTAGTCTCTCAAACCTCTTCTCCCCCAGACCCTTCCTTACTTCAGTTCAGGCTCTTGGATAAGAACCATCAGTCTTTCAGTCTCCATCTATAATGCAGTGTTATAGAGTATTTACTTACTGGATGCCCACATTATTGGACTAATATAAATAAGAGGAAAAAAATAATACAGAGGGAAGGAAGGAGATTATCAGTATCTTCAGATTCTTTTTCACTGCTATCAACAAATGGTAATTTTTGGTCAGATTCTTAGGTATTTATTATTGTGAAAAATGAAAAATGAAAGCATATTTTACAAATCAGAAGAGAACTGGACCATCAGAGCTAAGTAATTTTAAAATTCAGACAATCTGCAGGCAAAACAACACCCTAAAATGACAGATGATAAAGTTGTTTTCATCAAATGTATTACTTATGTGGTAATAATCTTATTAGCATCCTTGATACTGATTCTAAGAAAAAAAATTATAAAGCAAAGTCTTATTAGTAAGATAAAATTAACTGCTTTTTTCAACACTTTCCTCTAGAAGCTCACCTGTCCAGCAACATCCAGAATTACCTGCGGAAAGCTCGCAATAGTAATACAAGTTTTGATCTATTACCTGACTAGTTTTAGCAAGGATTTAAAAAAAAAATTTTAAAAATTAAAAAAAAAAAGAATCACAGAATTGGTAACTCAGTGTGTTGATTTGGCACAGCCTGGTTTTTAGTAGCAGGGGTGTCCCACAGGGGTGGCTTCTCTGAGAAGCTGCTAGAAGCTCCCACCATGTCCAAAAGAGCCAGTCCCTTGATGGCTGTGAAGACAGACATGCTGCTGGCCCAATTAGAGAAGCTGGTAATGCCTCTGTGATGACATAGTTAAGGAGAAAATCAAAACAGCATGCAAGCAGTTTTTTCACCAGGGCTGAGGAGGCACCGTGGCCGCTGCTGCGGTCGCCAGCACGCAGGCCTGGCCTGCAGCGATACACCGCCATGGCCACCACCATCTCAGTGCGGCCTGGGGCAAGTTCTGCCTGCCTGGCCGCCTCTAGCCAGCCATACCACAAACAGAAGGGCAGGGGCAGAGTGGCTTCTCCTTCCCAGTGCCCTGCATGAAGAGAGGCTTTAAATAGAACCAGTGCCACAGCAACTACCAGAGCCCGTGAGGTGGAGGCAGGGCCGCATGGCTGACGGCAAAAACGGGCGGGCAACTCCCCAGTGTGGAACCTGGATGAAATCTGCCTCTCGGCGCCACAGGATTCTGTGAGAATCTTTGAGTTAGTGCAACTTGTTGGCAACGGTACTTATGCAACAAGTTTTCTTCTAGTCAGAGGAGGACATGTGAGAGAAAAACAAAATGGTAGCACCAAGGTCAGTGGAAAAGGAAGAGGGGGAAAAGGTGCTCCAAGCGTTGCAGCCGAAATTCTTCTGCAAGCTGTAGTGAAGACTATGGTGAAACAAACTGTCCCCCGGTAATGCATGAAGTCCACGGGAGATACAGAAATCCACTTACAATAATTATGTGAGCATTAATATGCAGAAAGAAATTATGACAGCTGAATTCGTATCAGCTGCTTTGTCCAGAACATTTCATAAATTTCATCAAGAATATCCTAAGACCATGAGAAAAGTGCTCATGCTGCAGTGGTGGATGCCAGAGAAAGCTGTAATCTACTGAGACACCCAAACAGAGAGAAAGCCCCTGATTCCAGAGATAGAGAGAAAAGGCCCTTGCTTCCAAACTAGAGAAGCCTAGCCTGAAAAGACAATACCCCATGGACGAGTGACACACACCAAAACAGTTTTGGAAAGACTGTTTGCCCATGGGAGTGACCCCGCAGCACGGCAGAGAGAAGACTCCTCTCTCTGAGTGAACAGAAGATCTTGAGTGACGAACTGACCAAGACCCCCCATGCCCTGTCTGCCTGCACTGTCAGTAGGAAAGAAAGAGGGGCTAGAGGAAAAAAGGTTTTTTAGAGGCTTATTTTAATTCTTATTATCCCACTCTGACTCTGTTAATAATAAATTAACTTTGTATCTTTAAATTTGAATCTACTTTGCCCTTCAAGTGTTTTCTCGCAATCCTTATCTCAACTCATGAGCCCTTCATTAATTTTTACTCCCCTCTCCTCTACTCAACCATAGCAGAAGAAAGTAAGCAAATGACTTTCATGGGTACCTGCCATTTGGCCAATGTCAAACCACAATATTCAGCAATTACTGTGCAGCATAAAATGTATTGTCATCCAATATTTATATTCCAGTTTTAGGAAGAAGCATTTTGTAGTGACTTAGCAAACTACAGAACGACATTTCAAACAAGTCAGTGAGGAAAACCTTATTTCCACAGAAGATAGGTCATGACCAAAAAAAATTAAAAAATTAAATAAAAAGTGAAAGGAGTAAGAGGGAGGTGTTTTTACAAAAAAACTGTGGACCTGCTGATAGATAAAGCCAGACACTGATAGGTGAAAGAAGCAATGGGGGGAAATATAAATTCCTCAGGAATTCCACTAATCGACACAGACTGTTACTCACCCAAGGCCACGCTAAATTCCTGGACTTATGGAAAAAGAACAGAGACACAAAGAAAAAGAAGGGGGGATGCACATTAGAAGGGGGTCTGTATTAAGTGATTTGGGAAGCCTGTACCTCTCAAGTACCTCAGCCAATGGGTAAATAGAGAGGGAAATGAGGCCAAGGAATTAGGATAAAAAGGAGGCTGCATCCTCTAACAATTTGAGAGACCCTGCAAGTAATGCCTCACAGCCTCTCCCGTTATTCAAATAAATTCCTCTGTCTCCTTTTTGCACATAGACTTCTGACATCACGGGTTAGTTTTCCTGACAAAAGCAAAACAACATAGGAAAGACACCATATAGCCAAAACCACATTATTACACAATTTCTAGTGGAAACTGTATTAAATAATCACCTAACAATCAGTAAAAAAATAGTGACAATAGTAGCAACAAAACTGTGTTTCCCCTCTCCCCTCCAGCCTTTCACCTCCATAAAACAGTATATTTCAAATGTAGAGAGAAAAAAAAAAAGAAGAAATTACTCTAATGAAGATAAGAGGCTAAAGTAAACAAAAAGTGTAACTAAATGTATTTTTCATGAAAGTATACACTTTGAGGCTATTCATTGATGAATACAGATGATATTCATAGATGAAATCTATGAAATGTTCTGGACAAAGCTTCTGATTTTAATTCAGCTGTCATAATTTCTTTTCGCATATAAATGTTCACATAATTATTGTAAGAGTGGTGATTTGAGGCTAGCATCTTTGCGCTGATAACTGCTTCCTTTTTCTGAAGTACGGACACATACACTAGATATATAAAATATAAATGGATTTTTGGCAGCTTGACAAGCATGCTGGAAATGAACTAAAGATCTCATAACCATGTAGAAATGGGCTATTTTAAGGCCCCAGTGTCACGCAAAGGATGGCCAGATGAATGCAGTAGAAGAAATAGCTTCACATATTCAACATATTCACATATTCAAATTTACAAAAAATTAACTTTCTTTTTAGCCCCTTATTCCCTCCCTGCCTCTTCAGAAGCCCAAGAAAGGGCCTTAAGTAAATAACAATACCAGTCACATGCTGCTCCTAATAGCATAGTTGTCTACACAAAATATTGGGAAGTTGAAAAGGAAATTGGAAAGCCTCAGAGTTTAGCACTGCTATAAATGCTTTTCAAAATTAAAGGGATGGTTGTTTTGAAAGCACTTCTCTATTTTTTTCCCTTGTTAAAGGGAAAAAATGCTGAGTAACCAATTTAATCCATCACTTGCTTTCCCTTCTTTCCACTCCAGGCTGCAAGAAATTTGGATTCCTTCTGCCTAGGCAGAAAAGATTGACAGCAAATATCTATGATGGCTGTAGGTATGAAATTAATGATATCTAATAGATTATACATGAACTAGATGATGGCCCCTAAGACAACACTCAGAACCAACATGCCAAAATTGAACAAAGAACTACAAGTAGCAAACAAGATGGAAAATAGCCCAGTCAGACTGACAAACAGATCATTGTCACTATGACATGAAAAATCATTTTCCTCTATAGAAAACCCTTCCATTAAAGTACAAGCCTTTATGAATGCATATTTCAAAGAATTTTTTTAAGCCTCAGCTCAAATACAAGTCAATCTCAGGTTTGAGATTTCCTGCAATATAAAGTAATAAAAAGTTGTAGATGCTCCTTTCCGACACCCCAAAAGAATAGGAAGTTTTGATTATTCCCTACCAACACATCCTATTTAATTCAAAGTAATATCCTAAAAGGTGTTTGTTTCATGCCTCAGATGTGGATAAACAGAACAGTCCAGGTGATAAAGATCAGGGTAAAAACTTGGAAGTATTATTCTCACCATGATAGCCTGTCTTCCCCATTAGTTTAGAGCATGGCTAAAGTAATCCTATTAATTCCTCATCATCCACTATTTACATTTTCTAATGAGATACAGGAGACATTATTTCTTATTCATAGCTAATAAAAGCATATAAAAGCATAATCCATAAAAGTAAATCCAATCAGAATCTCCAGCACACCCACTGTAATCCTGCTGTTATCAGTGAGGGTATATAGGGCTACTGTGCAGACTACATTCACGAAACGTTTATGGCAAAGGTTTATATAAGTTCAAGTATGTTGAAGTTAATTATCAACTCAATCACTGTGAAATACCTTTGAGTCCAATCACACTTCAAGAAGGACAGCAGAAATGAGAACTCCTTTTTTGTGACAGGCTGTTTTTCCATTTTATTTAGATGCTGGATTTCTGAAACAGGAACTTCAAAGTCCCGCATATCCTGACAGTGTGAATTATTAACAGGAGCATGTTTAAACATATTTTTATCATTCATTCATTCATACATACATTTCTCTAGACTATTTATGTTTCTGAAAATCCTTCTCCTTTTTCTCCTGAACTCTGTGTAACAAGGCACTTCACAACAGCAAGAGCCATGCACTGATGCTTACTGAATGAACAGCATCTGCTTATAACAGAAACATGTTACCTGAAAAATCCTTGCTTTTGCATATTACAAAAATCTTTTGTAGTGGTAGTAAACTGATGATCCTAAAGCACCTTGATTTCTCTCTCTCTGAAGTCATTCCTCCTCTAACAAGTTGTTTACAGTCTTCAGACACTCTTCAGTCTGTTGACACCCCCACATCCATTGACATTTCCTGTATTCCTAGGCAGGGACTCTCCAGTCTGTAATACGCTGCAGAGAGCTGCCAACAGGGTTCCATGAAGCTTTTTCACCTTTAATTTGCAGTTGCTTCAATGATGCACACACACACACAATCTACCAATGGTGCTCATGAGACCAGATGACTCGTATTGAAGCTTGCAGCTTGCCCCAGTCAAAATTCAGGGCTAACTCTGAGTGTAGCCATAACCACTTAACAAATGCATCAATAAAAGATGAAACCAGGGGCAGCTACTCAGACCTAAATTAATATTTTTAAGAAATTATTGAATTTTCTGGTAAACAGACTTGTTTTAAAAATGGTTTGGTACTTAAGGTCAACTTTTTAAAGAATTCCAAAACCTTGCAAACAGCATTAGGTAGATGACTCCTAGCAATTCCTGTTAGATAGCCAAGTGCTATGAAAAAACATAAAAACTTATTAAAAAAAGGTGACAGAGCACTCATCTGCATCTTTGAAAACTCTTTTAAAAAATTTTATTGTGACCAATTCTATGTTCCACAAGTGTGACACTCCTCAGTGGAATTCCACCTACATAGTTTTGAAAATAAAAAAACTTTTTCTCTGGAAAAAATCAACATTCAGAGATATACAAATGTTTATTGAACGCTTGATATACATGAAAATCAAGCTTTTAAAATATAGGAAAATATAAATATAAATATATCTACTTAAATGTATCAACAAAATGCAAATTTGCTGCACAAGAGGAATATAAGTCTTCAGTCTTCTTCACTGAGACCACTCAAAATTCAGCAGTACTTCTTGCCATGTCTCAACTTTGCATATGATGCCAATACAAACCCAGAACTATTTTATGTGAGACAAAATGGTAATAATGCATATGTCTTGTGTTTTCTTGCATAGGTCAGATGAAAGAACCAGCCTCTGCAGAATATTCAGACATACAGATTTTGGATTCAGATGGCACTGAATTTTTCTCACTGAACTGTTTGACTCTATGCATGCATACATACACCCACGTACCACCTTCTTCAAAATTTTAACTTTGTCGCTCTAAGTTACTTTGTCCCGTTTCCTTTTGCAAGTGACTTTGGAATCAATACTCAGTGCTGAAGCTGGTGCTGCTGGTGCTGCTGACATGATGAAGAGGGTTCTGTTTGTGATATCTGGAAATCCCCGGTGTACAGTCCTACTTCAGCATGACCAACTAAGGAGTGCTGCTTACACAGAGAAGTCTGCTCAATATGCTTAAGTCTGCTCTCACTATCTGGTATTGTTTTATCTATCTATTCACCCACCCACTGACCATTTCCAGATCTATTCATAAATACACACCTATCTATAGCTCGGATATTTTAACTTGTTGTGCCTGTGTTTTAGAAATTCCTCCCTATGATCTTTCAACTCATTCAAAAACGCTGAAAACTCTTAGGATTGCCTGCTTCTCACAATATTTTCACTGTTTGATTGGTTTTAAAACAACCACACCAAAATGGAAAATAAAGGACTGTGTTGGAGGTTAGGATATATTTTTTTTTTTCTTTCCTTTTCTCTCTCTCAGTGTTCTCCCATTTGTTGCCTAAGAGATAGGAACTACTGATACTTAAGAGGCAGAGAATGTGGCTGGGAGGAGGAGGAGGAGGGGGAAGGGTGCAGTTGGATACACTCCTACCTGGGGGGCTTTCTCATGGGAAGTGCAGAGATATTGGGAGATTTTGGCTGGGGGGTGAGGGCTCTGGGCTCAGCTCCTTCCTCTCTCTCACTCTTGGGACCAGGAGGGAACAGTCAAGTTGCTGCTACCACAGGGCGAATTCACCTTTACTGCTTCTCCTACCATGGGCGAGCCTTTGCTCGTTAAAGTGGCTGTTGGACATTTCCTCAACACCCGATCTCACTGGAAAGGACCCTCTCCATCCACTCGGGTGCCTCAGGGGAACACCCAGGACTCTGACCCCTCTCCCACCCCTCCGAGGTAGCGGCTCCCAGCTGCCTTTGGGGCCCCAGCTGCTGCCCAGCCCCACTATTTTCTGCCACTGCTTCGGGTTTCTCACTACACTTTACCCCAACACCCTTGTGCCCACCAGGACACCCCTGGCTCCTGCTAAGGCTGTGGCGTTTTCTGTTGCATCTTGTTCACCACCCCAGGTGTGCCTGCCTCTGCCATTCCAGCTGCTGCTCCGAGGCTCCTGCTACAGCCCATCTCACCATCCAGAGGGGCACCGGGCCCAGCTGTCCCTGTGCATTTGTAGAGGAGCCCCTTTTCTATCTCTGCCGCCGGCTGTGCCCGTCATTACCAACACACAGAGAGGCGGCCGAGCTGCGCCACAGCGCCCCCTGGCGCCACGGAGGAATCACCGCGCCTGCCCTGCCCGGCCGGGAGCCACCAGCGCCCCTGCCGGCCGTGCCCAGAACTGCACCCAAAGGGAAAGCGCCTGCGGCCGAGACAAGGCTGTCACTGAGTTTCTGGTTCTGTTTGTTGCTGCTGTCAGTGTTGTTGGGTTTTTTTGTCTTGTTATGCAAAAATGTTATTCCTTTTCCCATACCTTTGCCTGAAAGCCCTGTAATTTCAAAGTTATAACAGTTTGGAGGGAAGGGTTTCCACTCCAAGGGAGGTTCCCACCTTCCTTGGCAGATATCTGTCCTTTAAACCAGGACAGACAATAAAATAGCCCACAGCTAAAAACAGACTTCTTCCTCCCACAAAAAAAAATCCCAAAATAAAAAAACAATTTAGAAAAAAAAACAAAAAAGAAAAAAAAATCAAACAACAAAAAACCCTAATGCTTCAGGAAAATTAATTCATTAAAAGCACTAACTCCATTAGTTCAATGAACCAGAAAGATAAGAGAATACAGATATTACATACATTAGATCTTCTGGATTATAAAGACATACTACTGATGAAGCTACTAAACAAACAGTAAGGAGTAAGGAAATTTTTGAGCAAGAGTAATTCCACTGAACCAGACAAGTGGAGAATAGAATATGACATTTCAAATATATTCTAACTCCAGAGCTTGCCTTCATCACAGGAGCTATCTGGAGCATGCGTGACTAGCTACAACTCTTGTGTAACTATGATGTACTTAAAAATTTTTCAACACTGATTTGAGTGAGCTCTAAATTCCTTTGTTTGTGCATTCTTCTTGTGCTAGGGTGCCACACAGGAATCCAGAAAGAATAATAGACAAGAAGGAAGAAAACATGTGTGGCTTCGTCCTATGTTGTTACTAAAGAAATCAGTTAAAACCATGAACAGTGGCAATTTGTTGTTCAAAGGAGATTTCCACAGATACTTTTCAAACTACACTTCCTTTTCCTGAGTTGCAAATGGAATCTAGTTCAGCTTTCACAGTATCTTTTTTCCCACTCAGAAGATCCTACCTTTAAGCAGATCAAACAGTTACATAATAGATGTCGCTATTTGCCTGATGTATGAATATTAGACATGACTAAAAAGGAAAACTTAAGGTATCAGTTTCTTCAAAACCGCACTGCCAAATATATAATGTCAAATATACTCAAATATACTGTGAATTAAACTGTGACCTCACCAGTCAAATGAACAATTCCTCCCTTAAGTAACTGCAGTGGCTAAAAGCCCTCACAAGACAAATAATAATCCAAATGAGGCAGACTCAGAATCTCTTTCTGAGAAAACATTGATGAATTTGAATTCATTGTAGCTCAGATTTGTTAAAACATATTGCTGTACACTGCAGTTTGGTTTTGCATATACCTGTCTCTGATAAATAATCTACTGTAACACAGGCTGTAGAGTATATAGAACACATATAAAATATATGTGTATACATATACACATATATAGAATTCTATATATGTAGAATATATAGCAACAGAAAAAGGTTGGTAAATATTTCTAATCTGGGTAAACTCATGTATAATGCTTTTTGCAAATATCATTGCAATGTTTGACTCAAGACAACGCAGACATTCTCTTCAGCTAAGACAGGCCAAAGCAGAAAAAAAGTAATCTTCACGTAGCTCAGCAAACTTGTGAATTTAGCATATCCACTTTCTGCTGTCACACTGTGTATAAAATATGGATGGCTACTTTGTTTTCAATGCTTTCCCAGTTATTACTTAGCCATCTGCATTAACTGTAATGCAAGGCTGTTCGTACTGTTAGGCAAGACAATGTTTCAGTTTCTCAGAGTTGTTGGAACTCTAAAATATCTCTAATCATAAAATATGTTGACTAGTGCTGATGTTGCTGCAACAAAAAATGATTTATTCAAAACGCTATTACAACAATATAAACTGACAGGGTTGTTTCACTTATCGGATTTCAAAAATGACAAAAAGCATAATAAATAAACTAAAATACGAAGGCAGATCAGGAACTCACAATTTTGTGGTGATACCCAATGAAATAAAACTGATGAGGGTTCTAAAGAAAATGAAAAATTTTCACAGGTCCTTATTCAGGAAATTTTAAAAAGTTGTGGAATAGGTACAAGGTTTGTCCACAGATACTACTGTACTGTGGACTGATACTTAAAACAAAATGTAGGAAGTTAATGCCCAGACATCTAATCACAGCATCATTATCTGCAGCCAGATAGAGTTATGCAATATTCCAAAATTTTCTGATATCCTTAGCTTTCTCATTTAAAATAATCATTCCGTGAAAAAAACCAAAAAAAACCAACTTTTTTCCTACAGCACTCATGCACCTGCATAATACAAGGTTTACTACGTCATATTTTGTGATTGTTTTCAAAAAGCTCTATTTTTTTTGAAGTTACAACTCATAACAGTATCATCTGGAATAAAAAGACATATTATGGGCCCTTAAAAGGTGTCTGAATGAAAAGATGGGAGTGCATCCTAGGTTGAGCAGCTGTATCAGGCAAAAGAAGCAAGAACAAATAAAACCTTATTAAATGTTGGACCTTGCCTTTCAGTGCCTTAAAAAAATATATTAAGTAACACTGTTAAAATATAGTATTGTTTTGAGGGACTGTATTAACAGCTGCATTGCTTTCAGCTTTCAGAGTCAAGATGAGCATGGATTTGAAATTTTCTGCATATGTTAGTACTCCTCGGAATGAAAACTCTAGAGCTGAGGCCAAAAAAAATTGCTTTATTCACACTGACATGAAAACTTGGCTTTTCTGCTCTGGAGAACAGGCAAAGGGACACATTCTCTCAAATTTTTGTTTAACAGAATTCCATCTTCTTTATGTAGTAATGTAGTAATTACTTTATGTAGTAATTAATGTAGTAATTTCAGCAGTCTCCTTGGATTATTAAGTTTACTATGTTCACTCATGCCACAGAAGCATCAAACATCCTTGGAGAAGTCTCCATAAGATTTTATCACAAGTCCAAGTTCCTGAATACTGAAAACTCTGGAGCAATATAAAATGTGATGTTTACAAATTCTCATTTAAATTCACAAGAAATGCAAATCAATTTCACAAGTTGCTCTATAAAGAATGCAGGTCATTAAGATCTTAAAACCAGAGTAAAGCAACTATAACAGAAAGCTCTACAGCAACAGTGGTTCTCAAAGTAGCTGCAAGTGATTTAACAAAAAAAAGTCAATGAATCAACAAGTTACCCTGTGAAGGCAGAGCTATTTGAGATTCTCAAGCAAATCCTCAATCCCTCTAAATCACACTACAACTTCAAATGGCAATATATGAAATGAAACAAAATATTTAGCACAGAGGAGAATTGGAATACATCTGGAAATATATCTTCTATGAGATCCCTGATTTCTGTATTTTAGTTCAAGCTATTCCAAGATAAATCCTTTGAGAGGCTAAATCAGTACTCTCAAAGACTTAACAAGTATCGAAGTTGGTGAACTCCTTCCTGCCTCACTGAACCTGGAAACATTGAACTGCTTGACAAGAAACATGAGAAGCACCCCCAGTTGGCCACTGGATTTCAATCTGCAGTCCACATTCTTAAATCTCATACATCAAGATGAAAGCAACGCAATTTTAAAGCACAAACATCTTTTCTTCTTCCCAGCATTGAACTCCTTCATTAAAAAGCTTTTATGGTGGTACTAAAGAAACAACACTAGTCAATAAAAGCACCCAGCAAAATATGCAGGAAATTGTAGTTTGCGTATTGGGATAAAAATCCTAGATGTTTAAAATTTTAAGCATAGTAATTGCCTTGACCTGCACCTTAAACACAGGTTTATTCAAACCCACCCACCAAGTATCTGTTACAAAAGCCTCTTGCAAATTAGGTTGCCTTCCCTTCTGAAGATTATAAGTTTTCAGTAGAGTCCCCTAAAAAAAAAAGCAATTGCTTAGCACCTGTCCTGCACCTATTACACAAAATCTACCATAAGGCTGCAGTGTATTTTTATGTCC